TTATAAACCAATTGTTTGGGGCTTTTTCACGTATGGCAAGATATTTGATCACAATGTTTTTGTGCTTTGTGGCAGCTTTCTAGTGAATAATCTTAGTTTAGTTTGCTTTTCTTATAGGATCTTTTTAAAAGAATTTAATTACTTTATTTATTTATTTTGGTTGCATTGCATGACTTGTGGAATCTTAATGCCTCCACCAGGGATCAAACCTGGGCCCCTCAGCGCTGAAAGTGCAAAGTTCTAACCACTGGACTACTAGGGAGGTCCCAGAGCCAGGTTTCAGATCAGATATTTTAAAACACAAAAGCCCACATTCTTTACTTCCATAGTATGCTGTCATTTCAACTGACTTTTTTCTTATTTAAATGACTTCCTAAGATAAAATCCTGGAAGTATACTGTTTGTGATTTGTAATACAAATTGTCAAACTTTTTTCCCAATAAGAAATTACTATTTATTATCACTTTACTAGCTTGTCCAAATTTAGTATTTTAAAATAGTACAAGTTAATGTTTATTTTGTACATAAGTTCAAAGTCTTTCAGAGTGTTCAGTTATGATTTGTTTTCTTCTTTAACTCTGTTTTTGTTCCTTGCCTATTTGTGTTATCTTGATGTTTAATTTTGCATGTAAACTTTAAGTTATTGATCTGTTTCTTTTATTATTTTAACTATTTCAGATTTTAGACAGTTGTTTCATCAAATCTCTGATAGCCTAATTATAATTTATTCTAGTTTTCCTAACATTTAGTATTTAACTCCTGACTTTGTTTTTGTATATGGTGTAAGGTGTTTAAACTTATTTCCAAATTGTTATTTAAACTTATTTCCAAATTGTTATTCATCCCAGTATCACTTATTCAGTCAAACTTTTCCTCTTGTTATTCTGAGTGTGGTGGTATAAAAAGAATGTAGGCATTTGGACAGAATTAATTTGAATTAAATCCTGGTTCTAGACACTGGTCCCTCTCAAGTTTAGGAGGAACCTCTTTCCCACAAAGAGCTCTGCCCTGCTGCTTTGCCCTGAGGATTGCAGCACCAACGAGCTTGGGGAACTCGGACCTTCACGCTGGGACACCTGCAGCGGTCAGTCGGATGTCTGCCCTCGGTCGGTCTGGATGGCCCAGGGCAATGGGACTTGTGTTAGTAGCCAGGATGTAGCCGTGGCTGAGCTGGGACCCTTGCCAGAGGGAAAAAGGCACACAAAAAGTCCCCAGTCTGTCCAAAGCGGAGCGTGCTCAGCGCCCCCAGGAGAACAAAAGCGGAGACGGGAACCAGCTCTCTGCCACGCGCGTGAGACGGTCACGCTCACCCTAGACTGTGTGCTGCCCTCTGCCTGGCGCCGGGTCACCTACACCTCGCCACCACGCCTGTGCCGAGAGCATCCTCCACCAGCACTCAGGACTGACGGCATCTGGACCCTCTTGCCTGCTTTTCGCTGTTCCTCTCTCGGGGAGCTTAGCTGTGCCTCTGCGCTTCGTGCACCCTCCACAGGAGAAGACGGCCTTTGGCAGGGTTTTCTCTAGCGCTTCGTTTTACTTTAGCTTTTATTGTTGTTTCATTTACTCTTCCTACTGTCATTCATTCCCGGTGTTTCCGGACTATCCTATTAGGGATTGTTCTTTTGACTTGGGGACCGTGGTTTCCTGGCTCTATATTACACAGTCCGTTGTTCTCCTCTGTCTGCATCCAGGGCATCCTCACCATCCTGTTGGCCCTGTGATGTGGGTGTCTCCCTTCCCAGCATGGGGGTGACAAGCCTTGATGTACTGATCTTTGGCCTGTCTTGCCCTTAGGGATATCGAGTCCACCATACAGTTAATTCACAAAGAACCATTCCATTGTGCCCACTTCTGAGCACATCTTCCCTGAATGTTTGACCTGTGGTTCTAGAGCATCGTGCTTTCTGTCCGCTGGTTGTGTTTCTCCAGGTCCGGCCTTCAGGGCCTCATTCTCTACAAGCTGCTTCTTCTGACCACTCTGATTGAAAGTAGTCCAACACAGAAATGGAGGGGAAACAATTCTCAAGGGCTTTGAAAGACAGTTCTTTGCTGATACCACAGAGACTTATTTCAGAGACCTTGACGATAGTTCCAGGGGGCTGGGAAGGTGAAGCCCAGCCTGAAGTCTTAGATGTCCCAGAAGAGCAGGATCACTACAAGCGCCCGCACTGTTCCTCTGTCCCAAGACCGATGGAGAGTGAGGACGCGCGGCTGCTCTGAGCTCCCTGCTCCCTTGGCCGAGGTCTATGAACCACAGTTTAAGACTTCTCAGCAATTCATTTTTGGCTCCCAAAGATGACAGATAAGTTTTTGAAAAGAAATCCGGTACATTTTTGCAGAATATAGCTGGAAGGTTTTTCAGATTATCTATTTATTTCTGAATGTATACTATTTATAGATTTTTTAATTAAACATTAAAATTTACTTAACTTTATAAATATATCATTTATTTTATTGTATTTCTACATATTTCTTTATTCATCTTGTGAAATTACCAAATGGAGTATCTGTCTATTACCCCTGTTTTATTCCTTTAAAATCAGGAACTTGTGAAACATTTGAAAATCAGCAACAATCTGGTTCTACTGTGATGTTCCTGTTGAAGCAAAGACAAGCTCTGAATCCTTTAACTGACCTGGATCAGATTGTTTTAGGGACCTCCCCGCCTCCAATTTGATTGTTTACTTTACTGCTTATTTTCAGTTGTATGGTGGAAGCACTCTGAAATCTGCCCACATTCTCTCAGCCCTGTTGGAGAGGCACCTGAGAAATAAAGGTAATGGTTCTGGCTCACATTTTTCTTTGACGTGAGCGGAAGACAGAGACAGAATGGACCTGCCTTTACCCTCCAGCCCAGCGGTTCTCCAGGTGACCCAGGCTAGGCACGTCAGCACCACCATCACCCAGGAACTTGTTAGAAAAATGCATATTTTCGGGCCGTACCCCAGACCTGCTGAGTTAAAACTCCCAGGAACAGGGCCTTGGGAGCTTCGTGTTCAGGCCCTGGGGGTGTCCCAGCATCAGCCCATATTTGAGAACCCCTGCTCTGGTCTGACCACCTAGGCGCTCTCGTGGGAGGGTGCTGTGAGTTTCTGTCGAATTCTGCTGCAGCCGCATTGAAGACACTGCCGTGGTCTTTGAAGTTCTGATACATCAGCCTTGTCTTGAATGTGCGCTGGGAGGCTGGACCGGGAGCAAGGAGAGCTGCTTTCTCTATTGTCTCCACTAACTGGTCCTAGAGGACTCCCTCACCAGGAAAGTGGAATTTTACCCTCTGCCTTTCTTGCTTTGTGTGACAGGAAGATAAAATGAAACAGGGGATGTTAAAATGGTTTGAAAATGTTAGCATGCAATGTGAAATGCGAGGCGGCGTCCGTATAAAAGAGTGCCTCTAGAGCTTTGCCTCGACCAGATTTCCCTGTGAACAGTCTTGTGCATCTGCAGTGGGCCATGTTGCTTTGCACACCCACTCACAGCTGTTAGAAATCACAGCTAACTTAGCACCTGTGAATACAGAGGAGGCAAATAGGCCCTAGGAGCGTGACAGAGTTTAAAAAAAAAAATAGCTTTCATGAGACCCCAATCTTGGAAAATCAAATGCTTTCTAGTTTTTTCACTGTAAATGGGGTAGGTGAAATGTTAGAGATGAAAGGGAGAAAGAAAGGAGGGGGAAGAATACCCGTTTACTTCTTAAGAAGGCCCCAGTCTCGTGGGATTCGCGTCGACGGTGGTACCCAGTTTGCCCACAGGGTGGCGGCCCCGTCACGGCTGCTCAGGGCTCAGCCTCACGGGCCCTCTTCTCCCTCCGCACAACAGAGGGGGGCGGAAAGAGCCTTCTTCCATTCATTGAGCACCCGCGCCTTTCAGCGGGTGGTTTTGTCTTCAGTTATAGAGATAATATCCTATTTGAGAAAAAGAAAGGTGACCCTATTTCAGTTAAAGTGATCTGTGATTGCTCATTGGGTGTTCCATGAGAAATGACTGCAGTGGACAGAAAGGGATCCCAGTCCAAGGCCTGGCCTGTGGGTCCCTCTCTTGTTTGGTGAGAACAGCTGGACTGTTTTTTAGGAGAAATCATGACCTACTAGTTCAGCCTCCAAGTTTCTGGTATTTACTCACTGTCCCATGTGCATTCAGCCTTGAACCCCAGCACCACCCTCAGCGGCGCCCTGAGTCACTGGAGTCTTGGTGGTGGAAGTTTGCAGGAAACTGTTTGAGCTACAACGCTGTGGGGCTTTACACAGCTCCAGGGCCCATCAGGGGCCAGCTCGAGAAGGGGAGGCTTTCCAGGTCTCGAAGTTCTCCTTGGGGTTTCTTTAAATTCAGATTATATAAATTAGATGGAGATGGGCATTCTTTCTTTCTTTTTTAATCGAAGGATAATTGCTTTACAGAATTTTGCTGTTTTCTGTCAAATCTCAACATGAACCAGCCATAGGCATTACTTCTTTAAAAAATTTTTTCTCTTTAATTTTCTATTGGAGTATAGCTGATAAGCGATGTTGTGATGGTTTCAGGTGGACAGCAAAGGGCCTCAGCCATACACATACATGTATCCCTTCTCCCCCAAACTCCCCTCCCAGCCAGGCTGCCACATAACATGGAGCAGAGTTCCCTGTGCTGGTCAGCAGGTCCTTGTCGGTTCTCCATTTAAAACACAGCAGCGTGTCCCTGTCCATCCCAAACTCCCTAACTGTTCCTTCCCTCCACCCTCCCACCCCCATCTCCCGCAACCATAAGTTCTCGTAGTTTGTATGTTTCTGTTTTGTAAATAAATTCATTCATATCATTTCTTTTTAGATTTTGCATATGAGGGATGTCACATTTCTCCTCTGTCTGACTTACGAGATGCTCGTACTTACTTATGTAAATAGACTTAGGGAAATCACAAAATTCCTGAGAATGGGTTTAAAACTATTTAGAGCGTCACAGTGTTTTTCTTGGAGTCCTGTCGGATAGATGTAGAATTGTATTCCCCTCGTNGGGATGTCACATTTCTCCTCTGTCTGACTTACGAGATGCTCGTACTTACTTATGTAAATAGACTTAGGGAAATCACAAAATTCCTGAGAATGGGTTTAAAACTATTTAGAGCGTCACAGTGTTTTTCTTGGAGTCCTGTCGGATAGATGTAGAATTGTATTCTGCTCGTTCCTAATGACTTAGCTGGTCCTGCTTTGTTCCACAGGATGTAACATTTTCCTCTGCCAACTCTTCCCGCCTCTTTCCCAATAAGGGGGCTGTTATTCTCCCTGGCAAGTGGAAAGTGACAAGCTGTTTTATTAAAACAATAAGGACATCTATAAATAAAATTTTAAAGGTATATACCCGCCTCTGAAATTATCTTATTAAGAATACCTTTATAATAGTTCTTTCATTTTATTGCAAAAGACACTACTGGAATAGCAAGGCTAGGAAGGAAACACAGCTAATTATCAGAGTGACTCATGTACCAAGGTGGAAAATCCAAGTTCCTTGTGTGTAAAAATATCTCGTGATTGACGTGTTCCCAAATTTCCACAAAATCGATTTCCACGTCATGATTTAAGGCCTTGACTGCTTTCCCTCGTGGATCGCAGGAACTTCCCCGAGCAGAAGGAGCCTCCGGGAAGCGTGCTTCCTTATGAAATGAGAAGCAGAGGCTTCTGTAGGCAGTGGGCAGATGAGGATGCTGGCGTGAAGGAGTCCGTCCATCCCAGCAGCCGTTTGCTGTCGGCACTGTGAGCGCCCCGGCTCTCCCTGTGGGGGCGCCGGGGGGTCACCGGGGAATTCTGAGCGGAGAAGCTGCTCTGGGCCGCTCAGGCTCTACCTGGATCTGCGTGGAGAAGGGGCCGAAGGAGGCGGGACCACTGGGGGCGCTGTCCATCGCCGGCCTCTGACTTCACTTTCCGCCGCCTCCCAGCCCTCTGCTCTCCTGGCTGTTTCTCCAGCCACCCCCGAAGCCCCCACGTGGCCCTTCTAACCAAGCAGCCCTCTGCCTGGGGCCTTCTCCCCGCGGGAGTCTGCAGCCCTCCTCTCGCACCTTCTTCAGATGCCCGGGGCTCGTTGAGCCCTTCCTGGTCTAAAACCTGCCCCCACCCCCGGGCCTTCTGCCCTCTCCCCTGTCTTCACCTTTCCTTCCTACTTATTGCCAACTGCAGCATGAAGTGCAGTCAGCAGGCGTTAGCGACGGGATTCATGTTCCAATAAACGCGTCATCAGGTGCAAAGATCTGAGGGTAGAAAGTACCGTAACACGACCAGCTCACCTGGGCCCAGAGCACTCACGTTAGTCTGAGGGTGGACAGGACCCTCTAACCCCAGGCCTGGTTTATCAGGAAGGGTGGAACGTCTCCTGGGATTTCCGGAACGCCGGGCTGGAAGGGAGAAACACGGTTGTCGGAGCGCGGGTCGTTCAGCCTCGTGATCTTAGGGTGGAGTCTGCCCTGAGCGGGGTGAGAGAGGGGGTCGCTAGGCGGGCCCCCATTCTCAATCCCCAGCACGGTTTCCGCTGAAAGCATACGGCTTTCGCGGCATCGTCAAGTCACGAGTGCGGGACCCTCTGTGTAGATTGTGGCAGATACATGGCGAGGTGGAGGGGTCCCCTCGAAAGGGCTGGCACGGGCAGGCGCGAGGCGGACGTTGAAGGGAGTGCCCGCCGGCCGTGCCATCCCCCCGCCGGCTCGCGGGCACCTGACGCCGTCAGTGATGCCGCCACGCCGGGCCCTTCCCGGAGTCTCGTCTCTCGTCAGATCCCTACAATGGAAGAAGGCTCGTAGCTCGCTCTCCAGACGGAACACAGGCCTCCAGCCACCTCCGTGTTTAGGGTCCTGGCCCTGCCCAGCACTGCAGGAGGGTCAGGTGCTGGACGGCCAGACACCTCCTGCCTCCCAGGGCCCAGTTTTTCCCGGGGAGCCCCCCGCCCCTCAGCCACGGGCATGGCTCCCGAGCCAACTCCGGCCACCTCGCATCCTGGCCGCGCCCCAGCCCTGCCTTTCAGAGCCCCTGCCGCATGAAGAACTCGGTGAAAACGTCGGCGACGGCGCCGCTCCACAGCAGGGACACAGCCTGGCGCCCGTTTTCACTGGAATGACGCACTCTCTGCCGCCGCCTCAGGCTTCCTTCCTTTGGAGCGTGACTGCTGGCTGGATCTGCCTGACCGACCTCTCTTCACGCAGAAACGATGGCCACTCACAGCCCCTCTGCCAGGCTCCTTTTGTAAAGAATCTCAATTTATTTTCTCAGAATAGGAAGAAAGGTGATACCGTGCGGGCTCCGCGAGTTCCTGGCTTTGCCGGCTCGCCGTCCGAGACGTAAGCAGAGGTTCTGCCTCCCCTCAGCAGAGGTGGGCAGCTCTTAGCTGCGAAAGGAGGGCCCTGCAAACAGCACCCTTGCTCCGGGGCCTCCTGACCGGGCCTCGTTTCCCTCCCTCTTAGGGAGAGACCTCGGTTGGATCCCTGGGTCGTGAAGATCCCCTGGAGAAGGGGGCACTCCACTACCCACTCCAGTGTTCTGGCCTGGAGAATTCCATGGACCCTCTAGTCCATTGGGTCACAAAGAGTCGGACACGACTGAGCGACTTTCACTCACTCACTCAGGGAGCCCGTGGCCTTACATAGTGAATATGACTTTGAAGATGAAAGCTCCCCACCCCCCCCAAACAACTCTCCATTATCATCATTCTGAAACTATAGCTGGAATGTTAAACAGATTTTTGAGACTTTAAAAATTATTCCTTGCTGGTCTTCAGAAACAAAACTCAAATAAGAACGCTTATCAATTGCACTTCTGTTTCTGCTGAAAAGCTCCTGACCGCCCGCTCAAAGGCCCCTTGTTCTGATCTCCCGGACGCTGCTCATAGGGGCCCAGACGGCGGCAGTGCGTGCGGGGCCTTGCATTCGGGTGGACCCTTTATTCCCTGGAGAAGAACGGGGCCCGTTTGCCTGGGGCCAGGACAGGGCGGGGAAGGCGTGCCTCCTGGCCGGAGAAGTCTCTGAGTTCGTGGGGGTTCTGACGGAGCACCTGGAGGAGCGGGGGCGCCGCTGAAAATAGTTACGGTTGCTTTTGTTTTTGGAAGTTTTGCAAAAAAAGAAATGTGTGGCGCCTGGAGAGTCTGGTTTTGGAATGCTCTGAGTCAGACCTGGGCGGGACGTCATTTTCTTGTTAAGGAGCAGAATATGGTTTCTCGATCTGTTTCTGCTGTCTTGGTGTTTAGCTGGATTCCTGGGTGGTTGGTCAGCCTGGGCACATCTCCACAGCGCGGGGGGGGCCCAGCCTTGGCACCACCCAGCAAATCTGTGTGCCAGGGGAGGGGCTTTGGCTGCCAGGCCAGGTCGATTTTCAAGGCAGAACTGTGTGTAAAAGCGCCCAGTGACACATAACTATTAAAGATTAAAATTCCTGTTCCTGTGGGGGAAAGGCACACACAGAGGTGTCATTGTAAGTGATACGATTTACTTCTGATCTCTTACAACTGGAGTTAGAAAGCCGAGTTTCCTTTCCAGAAAATTCTCGTTTATTTTCTAGAAAGTTGCATTTTATTACTGCGGAAGGATTTTAATTTCCAAATGAGTATGCTTTTTTTTTTTAAACCAGGAGTTTTGGAAATCCCAGAGACAGAGGTAGAAAAAGTCGTGGTGTATGATGGCAATTCTCAAGTTGCCATCAAGGCAAGACTCCCTCAAGGGGTGGGGGTGGGGGGAGTCATGCCGTGGCGGCAGACTTCTTTTAGCCCATCTGCAAACTGACGTTTAAGTAAAAGTGGGCTGTTTCTCTGCACCAAGTTAAAGACTGTTGTGCTGGCTAAGGGGAGGCTTATATATAAGCCTTTATATAAGTATATAAATATTCACTAGTAACCAAAGAAAGGCAGGGAGAGTTGTGATGCATCAGGTTTTATGGCTAGGGTAGCCAAGATGTACTTTGAGCATCACAGCCATCACAGCCGGTGTGGCCGGTTGACCTGCAGTGTGTGTGTGCGTATGGAGGGCAGGCTGTGGGGTGCGGGGTATGTCACAGAATTATGTAAAACCATTAGACTAGTTATGATTGCCTGAATCTGAAGCGTGCAGCCAGAAGAGTCCTGCTGGGGAAGCAATTGCGGCGAGCACTGGGTCTGTTTTGGAAATGTTCTGAACCAGAGGGTTAACACAGTGAGCTGTTTTATTAAAGGGCCCTCGCTCTGTGTTTGGGGAGAAACACATGCCCTTTTATTGGGAGCGTGAAGCAAACCTTTTGAGCTGCAGCGTCCCAGCGGGTATGTCTAGTTGCGGGGAATAATCGCGGCTGTGGAAGTCCCGGTCCTGGCAGGACTCTGGACTCAGATGTCCTCTCCTCGCCCCTTCCCCTTCTAGACTGACCAGCGGCGCCATGTCCAGAACCGGCTGGCAGCTGGCCCTTCTCCTGTGTGGCTGGTGCGTGGCTGCGGCCGTCCTGGGGGACCCGGCCGAGGAGGGCTGTCCGGCCGAGCCCCGCCAGGCCGCCCGCTACGTGGCCGCCGTGTACGAGCACCGGTCCTTCCTGAGTCCTGACCCACTGGCCCTCACCAGCCGCAAGCAGGCCTTGGAGCTCATGCATCGGAACCTCGACGTCTACGAGCAGCAAGTGATGGCCGCAGCCCGAAAGGCAAGGCGTGCTCAACAGGGCGGGCTGGCCCCGGGTGGGTGCTCCCCCGCAGCCCTTCTGGGAAATCAGACCCAGAGCGCTAAGCTGAAGGAATCAAGTGGCTTAGTTCAGTTCAGTCGCTCAGTCGTGTCTGACTCTTTGCGACCCCATGGACTGCAGCACGCCAGGCCTCCCTGTCCATCAGCAACTCCCGGAGTCCACCCAAACTCATGTCCACTGAGTGAGTGTTGCCATCCAACCTCCTCATCCTCTGTCGTCCCTTTCTCCTCCCGCCTTCATTCTTTCCCAGCATCAGGGTCTTTTCCAGTGAGGCAGTTCTTCACATCAGGTGGCCAAAGTATTGGAGTTTCAGCTTCAGCATCAGTCCTTCCAGTGAATATTAAGGACTGAGCTGCATCCGGTGGCTAGAGCCCCGCTACTCAGAGGGTGGTCTGCAGACCAGAAGCATCAGCCTGCCTGCCAGAGCCTGTGAGAAATGCAGAACGCTGGGCCCCGTCCTAGACCTGCAGAGTCAGAATCTATTATTTTGCAAGATCCCCAGGTGATGCTTCCCCTCCAGCCAGGGTGGGAAGTGCCGAGCCAGGCCCCTGGTTCTCACATGTGGGGGCTCGTAAGGCGCCTCCGGTAGGAAGACAGTGCAAAAACACCGCAAGGCGACCTGCCTGATGGCCGCTCCTGCTCTCGGAGGCTTTGAGTCTAACAAGCAGGGAGCCGCCCCGGAGCGGAGCAGGTTTGCTGCCTCCCAACGACATGGGGGGCTCATTGCTGGTCCCCGTGCCAGACCCCTAGCAGCCCGAGGGCCCAGTCCAGACAGAGCCGAGCCAGCGGACAGAGGGGACCAGTGCCGCCTCTGTGCCCGGGAAGGAGCGGGTACCAACTGGAGGGAGGGCTGGGGGGGTAGGGCCAGCTGGGCTGCTGATGGATGCCCCGCTCCCGGGGACAAGCGGGCACCCTCTGGGGGCAGAGCCCCATGCCTGTGAGGTCGGGAGCAGACCACCTGCCGAAACAGCCCCCCGCTCCTGCGCAGGGTAGCCAGTCCTGCCCAGCCAGGCACTGGCCCTCGCTGCGTTCTGACATGCGGCCTGTAGCACAGGTACGTGGAACACACTGATGTTGGAAGGGCGCCTAAAGGCCGCGTCCATTTGCTTCTGATGGGTGACCCTGCTCCTCTGTTCCCACCCCGACGCCCAGCCCTGGACACCTCCTGGACACCTCCAAGCTCACCGTCCACTTGAGGACGGCGGGAACTCCTGGCAAAGAGCTTCCTTTCCATAAGCAACAGTCAGCCTCCCTGCTACTGCCGCCCATCGCCCCATCCTCCAAGCCCAACAGGACAGACTGAACCCCCTCCTACCCATGCTGCCTTCCCCAGATCGCAGCCTGGCTGTCACGGCTGGGATCTTCCCCCAGGCCCATCAGGGATCTGTCCCAAGGCCCATCAGGATCTGTCCCCAGGCCCATCGGGGATCTGTCCCCAGGCCCATCGGGGATCTGTCCCAAGGCCCATTGGGATCTCCCCCATGCCCATCAGGGATCTGTCCCCAGGCCCATCGGGGATCACTCTCCAGGCCCATCGGGATCACTCCCCAGGCTCATCGGGATCTGTCCCCAGGCCCATCAGGATTTCTCCCCAGGCCCATCAGGGATCTGTCCCAAGGCCCATTGGGATCTCCCCCACGCCCATCGGGGATCTGTCCCCAGGCCCATCGGGGATCACTCCCCAGGCCCATCGGGGATCTGTCCCAAGGCCCATTGGGATCTCTCCCCAGGCCCATCGGGATCTCCCTCAGGCCCACTGGGGATCTGTTCCCAGGCCCATCCACAGCTCCTGGAGAGAGGCAGTTCCAGCCCTTCCCCCAAGGCTTCCTGGGTTACCTCATACCCTGCGCTGCGCACAGCTCTGTCGAGGGCAGGACGGAGCAGGCCTGTCACCTTTCCCAGTCTAAGTGTTGTCCCCAGGCAAAAAGCTTTTCACAGTTACATCTCGCTGTGGGCTCGCCGCGCTCTTGCTGTCAGTCACAGCCCCCGAGCCCTTTTCACACAGATACACACACTGCCATGGCCATGCCATCCTTGTAAGGGTAATTGATTTAACCTGATAGCAAAGCCTCCCATTTATGCCATTAAAGTTCATCGTTCCAGCCTGTTGGGCTATTTGGGGATCTGTACGGCCATCCTGCGTATCAGTTACCATCGCGTCATTCGCACCTCCCGGACACACCTCGTTTGTGTCTGCCCTGACTCAGGGCATGCCCCGAGGCCCTCTCCTGACACAGATCCATTCTCTGCACGCAGGTGTAGGCTTGCACGGTGCTGAAATGTCGCCCCTTTCCCTCCATCCTGTCCACAAAACCACGCTGAGACATTCGGCAGATGCCGCACTGGAACCTAGAGTCCGTGGCTGCAGTATCCCTGCCTTCTCATCACCTGCCCCCAAACGAAACATGTAGCGTGTTAATGTATGCTTCCCTCATAGCTCAGTTGGTAAATCATCTGCCTGCAATGCAGGAGACCTGGGTTCGATTCCTGGGTCAGGAAGATCCCCTGGAGAAGGAAATGGCAACCCACTCCAGTATTCTTGCCTGGAGAATCCCATGAACGGAGGAGCATGGTAGGCTACAGTCCATGGAGTTGCAAAGAGTCAGACACAAACCACCACCACCACACTGGCTGCAGACATCATTCATTCTACTTGTGGACCAGGAGCAGAGATGAAGCTGTTGATCTGGTCATTTTTAGGGCTTACAGACATCTTAGCTCCTCTACGTGGTTATATGTGTTAAAGTCACCTCTAAGACAGGTTGAGACCAAGCGTGTGTCAATGTTTTGTATCAAAAATGCTATAAGGGCAGTGGTTCCTGCAGGCCAACTGAAAGAGTTCTCTCTTGACAGAGGCATTTACAGTGAAGAAAAGGAGTCATGCTTAAAGATATCAGGCTGGGAGTTCACCTGGGTTGGCACTCAGAATTCCTCAGGAGTTCTTGGGCTCATGGTCTATCAGAAAACTGGTGAAGCCCTTTATCAGGCATGCAAAGTGCTTCCTCGAAGGTATCAGACCCCGAGTTCTGCCTCCGCTCCAGTCTGAGTCCTCATGTAGTTAGGAAATGCAATTTAACATTAGTAGGTATATATAACTGTTGCTTTCCACAGGTAACCACTCAGTGCTTTCAAAGCTTTGTTTTTAATAAGGGAAAACATTTGTCCAAGTATAATTTGCAAAAAGTTAGAAGCGTGACTCTTACCCATAGAGAAGAATGGACATGTGTCAAAGCTTTTGTTTAACTCATTAATAAACCAAGGAACCAGTAAAGTGGTAAAGCTGGCTCAAAAGAGAATTCGAGGAAGAGATGTGAGTGTATCCATCAGTCAAATGAACGTTGAAATGAATCTGCCAATAGATTCAAAGCTGGCTACTGCTGTCCTCTGCGTCACTGTGCTTAGTCGCCCAGTCGTGTCCGACTCTCCGCAGCCCCACGGACTGCAGCCCACAGGCTGCTCTGTCCATGGGGATTCTCCAGGCAAGGGTACTGGAGTGGGTTGCCATGCCCTCCTCCAGGGGATCTTCCCGACCCAGGGATTTAACCCAGGTTTCCTGCATTGCAGGCGGATTCTTTAGTCCTACAGGGCAATAAAACATCATGTTGAGGGTGATGTTCTGTTAAATAGCGAAGGCAAACAATGGTACATTCACTAGATAAATGATCCTTGCATGTGCTTGTCAGCCAGTACGCTGCTGTATCGTGGAAAGATATACAGAGAGTGGAGACTGACATTCTTCATATTGTTTATTTCCAAGTTTGTGATAATTTTCCTTTCTAACATGCAGTAAGATGACCAAATGCATATTCTGCTGGAGGGAATGAGTTTTGCTGTGATCTTTCTGGAAGGCTATTTGGCAACACATGTGAAGAATTTAAAATTGTTTCCTATGTTTGACAGTATTTTCACTTCCTCAGGCTTATAAAGCTTTATTTATAAAGAAATAACCAGAGTTCCAATCAAAGATTTGTGTACCATGCTCACCCAGAAAGTGTTTTGAGTACCTTGTAGGCAGATGGTCACCACAGTTGTCTCTTTATTACAAAAAGTTGGGAGCAATTCAAATATCCAGTAACAGAGGATAAACTGTGGTGTCTCCTTAAATATTATCCAGCGTCTAATACAAGTGATGTTTCTGAAGGTGTCTTTGTAGCTTTTTTAAAAATAATTTTGTTTATTTATTTCTGGCTGGGCTGACTGTCACTGCTGCACACAGCCTGTCTCTCACTGTGCTGAGCAGGCCCGACTCTTCGTTGCGGGTGTGCGGGCTTCTCCTCGGGGAGGCTCCCCTCGTTGCGGAGCGTGGGCTGTGGGCACTCACGTTTCAGCGAGCACTCGGAGCTTGCAGGCTCCAGAGAGCGCGGGCCCAGTCGTCAGGGTGCTGGGTCTCAGCTGCCCTGCAGCACGGGGAGTCGTCCCAGACCAGGGGATTGAACCCCGGCATTGGCAGGTGGATTCTTACCCACTGTACCTCCAGGAAAGTCCCGGCGTCTTTGTAGTCTTGATGTTCTGTAGTGAGAGCATCAAGACAGAAAACTGTATGTTTATCATTGTCTCAATTATACACACACACACACATAGGCAGAGAGGGGAAAAAATGAAATCAGGATGTTAGCAATTCCTATCTTCATGATACAGGCTTATGAATTCTTCCTTTATAATTTCTCTTCCAAATGTTCTACAAGTAAACTTTCATGGGTTTTATATAGCCAGGAAAAAGTATAAGGGTGTGCAGCGCATTCTGGAAATCAGTGACTCAGATCACCTGTTATTCTCGATGACCCGTGCCTGCCCGGCTGCTCTCCGCCACCATCCGCTGTGGCTGAGGCTCCAGGCTTGGCACCTTCAGCCCAGTAAGTGGAGAGTGCGCCCTTGAAGGGCCCGGCCCTGTCCACTCGGGCTGTCTCAGGTGCCTGCCGGCCCCCTGCACCACCCCACGTGTGAAGAGGTCTGTAAGGGGCCCAGGGCTCTAAGCGGAGTCTCCTAACTCCCAGGGAGAGAAACGCAAGTTAGAACCAAGTCCTGGTTCCTATGCTAAAATCAGCTCGACCCAGCCCCCCAGCCCAGGGGGGCCCCACCTCGGCTGCGCATTAGAGTTTCCTGGGGCCCTGTACCCACACTCTGTCCCTGAGCCCCGCTGACAGCCCACAGAAGCAGACTCTCGGGATGGGCCCCCAGATCAGCCCCAAACAGCCAGTGTGTTTTTAGAAGCTCCCCTGTCTGACGGAGAAGCGCAGTGAAGGCTGAAAAGCACTGGACTGTTGGTAGCACGTCTGTTGAGCACGGCGTTCAGGGCCTGTTGTAGTTTCCACTCCAGCCCCCAGGGCACCGTCCCCAGCTCCTAAGCCCGCTCCCTCCAGCCAGGCTCACCTGTCCCCTCCGCCCCCGACCAGCCCCAGACACGTCCCTGGTTCCGGGAGGACACTGTCTCAGTTCCCTCAGAGTCAGGCCACGTGAGCCACCCCACCAAGGCTCAGGTCCCTGGCCCTCCGGTCCCTGGTTCTGAGCAGCTGCGGGAGGGCTGTGGGAGGATGCAGGCTGCTCCCCAGCACCTGCTAACAAGCTGTCCTCTGATGTTCTGACTTACAGGGTGCACAGATCATAGTGTTTCCAGAAGACGGCATCCACGGGTTCAACTTTACAAGGACATCCATTGACCCGTTCTTGGACTTCATGCCACCTCCCCACTCGGTCAGGTGGAACCCGTGCCTGGAGCCCCACCGCTTCAATGACACGGAGGTAAGTGCGGGGCCTGGTGTCCCTCCGAAGGGGGCAGGAGGCGCATGGAGCTAGGCCAGGCCAGGGGCCAGGAGCCAGGACGTGCGGAGTGAGACCGACCGGAGCCCTTCGGCCCCGAAAACCAAGCCCAAGCTCCCGGTGCCCGCGGTTAGAGTACGTCTGCTACTGTGAGGCCACTACTCACCTGCGGCTCATTCTGGTTTTCAGTCACCAAGGAATGCATGAATATGTGCTAGAACCACAGATCAAACAGAAATTTAAAAAACGGGGCTTCCCCGGTGGCTCAGTGGTCAAGGATCCAGCTGCCAAGGCAGGAGACACAGGCTCCATCCCCGGTCCAGGACGACCCCACATGCAGCGGAGTGGCTCCGCCCGTGGGCCTGCGCTCGCGGGCCACTGCTCCCGAGCCTGCACTTCCGAGCCCCAGGGAAGCGGCTACTGAAGGCCAAGCCCCCTCGAGCCCCCGCTTCACAGCAAGAGAAGCCCTCGCTCACCGAGGCCAGAGAGGCCTCGCAGGAACGAAGACCCGGCACAACCAAAAATCAATAAATAAAATTACTGTAAAACCTTAAAAAAATGAAAGTCCACTTCAGCACCCCCCACCCCCGATCCTACCCTGCTTTCTAGAGAAAACCATAAATGATTGGATGTACCTCCAACTATTAATATACTCTTTTCTATGCATCCAGCAGATACTGATGTCATTTTTATTTTAAAGAAGTTTTTTCCTTGATGCACAGTTGATCTCCAGTGTGTTAATTTCTGCTGTAAGCAAAGTGGTTCATTTACACACACATTGTTCTTTATGTTCTTTCTCATTCCCGTTTATCACAGGTTATTGAATATGGTTCCCTGTGCTATATAGTAGGACCTCATTTGTCTATTTTATAGATAGCAGTTTGCATTTGCTAACCTCAAACTCCCAATCCATCTCTCCCACAGTCTGCACCCCGCCTCCCTAGCAACCGCAAGTCTGCTCTTTATATCTGTGAGTCTGTTTCTATGTCATAGATAAGTTCATTTGTGTCCTGTTTTACATTCCACATATAAGTGATCCCATGTGGTATTTGTCTCTCTGACTTACTTCACTTGGTATGATAACCTCTAGTTTTTTCGTTTTCCTGCAGATGGCGTCATTCGTTCTTGTTTATGGCTGAGTAACATTCCGTGTGTATGTGCACGTCTTCCTTGTCCTTTCATCTGTGGATAGACATCTAGGTGGCTTCCGTGTCTTGGCTGTTGTGAGTAGCGCTGCTCTGAACGGGGGAGTGTGTATCTTTGTGGATTAGCCTTCTCCAGGTGCACGCCCAGGAGTGGGCTTGCTGGGTCGCCTGGCTGGGCTGGTCTTAGTTGCTGCACACGGGAGCTTTCCTTGCAGCTCAGAGACTCTCCAGCTGCCGCTCACGGGCTCACGTGGTCACAGCACACCGCTGGGCTCAGTCGCTCCAAGGCCTGTGGAATCCTAGTTCCCCGGGAGGCATCAAACCCGCATTCCCTGCCTTGCAAGGCGGATTCTTAACCACTGCACCACCAGGGAAATCCCTTTAGTTTTTTTGAGGAACCTCCGTGCTGTTTCCCACAGTGGCCACGCCAGTTTACATCCCCCCCACAGTGTCGGAGCGTTCTCCTTTCTCCATGCCCTCTCTCGCACATGTTTGTAGACTTTTCGTGGTGGTCATTCTGACTGGAATGAGGCACTGCTTCACTGTAGTTTTGATTTCCATTTCTCTAGTAACTAGCAGTGTTGACATCTTTTCACGTGCCTGTTGGCCATCAGTTATGTGTCTTCTTTGGAGAAATGTCTATTTAGGTCTTCCAGCCGTTTTTCAATTGGGTTTTTGTTGCTGTTGTTCCGTTGTACGAGCTGTTTGTATATTTTGGAAATTGAACCATCGTCTGTCACGTCATTTGCAATATTTTCTCCTGGTCCGTAGGTTGACTTTTTGTATTGTGTCCTTGGCCGTAGAAAAGCTGTTTGATTAGGTCCCACTTGTTTGATTTTGCTTTTTTCCCTCAGCTTGAGAGACTGACCTAAGACAGCATGGGTACAATTCAGGTCAGAAAATGTTTTGCCTGCATTTTCTTCTAGGAGTTTTATGGTGTCATGTCTTGTATTTAAGTCTTTAAGCCATTTTGAGTTATCTTTGTGTATGGTGTGAAGGTCACTGATTTATTTACATGTGGCTGTCTAACTTTCCCAGCACCACCACTTCCCAAAGAGACTGTCTTTCCTCTGCTGTATATTTTTGCCTCCCTTATTGAAGATTAATTGACCATAGATATGTGGGTTTATTTCTGGGCTCTCTCTTCTGTTCCACTGATTCATGTTTGTTTTTGTGCTAAGACCACACTGTTTTAATTACTGTAGCTTTTAGTCTTGTCTAAAGTGTGGGAGGGTTATGCCTCCTGCTTTATTCTTTTTCTTCAGTATTGCTTTGACAATTCTGGGTCTTTTATGGTTCTCTATAAATTTTAGGGTTATTTGTCCAAGTTCTGTGAACAATGTCATGCATAATTTGATGGGGACCACATTAAATCTGTAGATTGCTTTGGATAGTATGGCCATTTTAACAAAATTAATTCTTCCAATCTAAGAGAATGGAATATCTTTCCATTTCTTTAAATCATCTCCAGTTTTCTTTCATAATGTTTTATAATTCTCAGTATATAAGTCTTTCCTGACCTCCTTGGTCAGGTTTATTCCTAAGTATTTTTATTTTATTGAAACAATTTTAAGAGTTTTTTTTTTTTTTTTACATTCCCTTTTTGATAATTTATTTGCAGTGTAGAGAAATGCAACTGATCTCTGTATGTTAATCTTGTGTCCTGCTACCAGACTGAAGTCGTTTATCAGTTCTAGTAGTTTTTGTGTGGATCTTTAGGGGTTTTTTAAATATAGTATTGGGCTTCCCTGGTGGCTCAGAGGTAAAAAAATCTGCCTGCAGTGCAAGAGACCTAGGTTCAATTCCTGGGTCCGGAAGATCCCTGGGAGAAGAGATGGCTACCCACTCCAGTATACAGTATCATGTCATCTGCATATAATGACAGTTTTACCTCTTACCTTCCAATTTGGATGCCTTTTTTTTTTTTCCTTGTCATTGCTGTGACTAGGACTTTCCAATACTATGTTGAATACAAGTGGTGAGAATGGGCATTCTTGTCTTGTTCCAGATTTTAGCATGAAGGATTTCAGTTTTTTCACCATTGAGTGCTATATTGGCTGTGGGTTTGTCATAAGTAGCTTCTATTATGTTGGGATATGTTCCCTCTCTCTCTCATCTCTACTTTGGTGAGAGTTTTTTTTTCATGCATGGATGTTGAATTTTATCAAAAGCTCTTTCTGCGTCTGTCAAGATGATCATGTGGTTTTTGTCTCTGGTTGGTGTGATGTATCACATGTTGATTTGCGTACATTGAACCATCCTTGTGACCGTGGGTTGTGACCCTAGGATGAATAGCCCAGTTGTGGTATATGATCTTTTTTATGTGTTGTTGGATTCAGTTTGCTAATATTTTGTTGAGAATTTTTCCATTTATATTTATCAAAGATACTGGCCTGTACTTTTCTTTTTTGGTAGCGTCTTTAGTTTTAGTATCAGGGTGACGGTGGCTTCCTAGAATGTCTTTGGGAGTGGCCCCTCCTCTTCAGTCTTTCAGAATAACTTGAGGAGGATCGGCATGTTATTTTTTGTGTGTTTGGTAGAATTCCCCAGTGAAACCATCTGGTCCTGGATTTTTGTTTGTAGGAAGTTTAAATTATAGATTCTATTTCACTTGTTGTGATTGGTCTGTTCAAATTATCTATTTCTTCTAGCTTCAGTTGTGGTGGGCTGTATGTTTCTAGAAACGTGTCCATTTCATCTACATTGTCTAAATTGTTAGCACGTAATTGTTCATAGTATTTTCTCCTGGTCTTTTATATTTCTGTGGTAGCAGTTGTTATCTCTTCTTTTCCTTCTTTTGTTTATTGGGGTCCTCTCTCTCTCTCTCTTTTTTTTTTTTGTTGAGCCTGGCTAGAGTTTGGTTGATTTTGTTCAGCCTTTCAAAAGACCAGCTCTTGGTTTTATTGATTTTTTTCTGTTGTTGTTTCGATCTTTATTTATTTCCTCTCTCATCTTTATTATCTCCTTCCTTCTAACGACTCTAGGGCATATATATAATTTTATTTACTGTTTTTGGCGGTGCTGGGTCCCGTTGCTGTGGGTTTTCTGTAGCTGCCGTGAACAGGGGCTCCCCTCCGACTGCAGTGCGCAGGCTTCTCAGTGCTCCGACTTCTCTGCCTGGGAGCCTGGGCTCTAGGGTGCTCAGCCTTTAGCAGCTGCGGCACGTGGCTCAGTAGCCGCCGTTCCCGGGCTCTGGAGGGCGGCTTGAAAGCTGTGGCCTGCGGGCCCAGCTGCCGCACGGGCGTGGGATCCTTTCTGAACTGGGGGTGGAACCCTGTCTCCTGCCCTGGCATGTGAGCTCCCCATCGCTGAGCCCCCAGGGGAGCCTCTGACTTTACGTGTGGTTTGTTCTGTTTCTCATTCTCTTAGGTGATGGGTTAGATTGTTTATTTGAGCTTTTTCTTGTTTTTTGAGGAGGGCTGTATCACTGTGAACTTCCCTCTAAGGACTGCTGTTGCTGCATCCCATAGGTTTTGTATGGTTGTGTTTTCATTGTCATTTGCTTCAAGGTATTTGAAAAATTCTTCTTTGATCTCATAATTGATTGACCCTTTGGTTTTTTGATAGCATGTTGTTTAGTCTCCATGTAACCATTTTTTTTTCTCATTTCTTTTTCTGTGGTTCAGTTCTAATTTCATGCCATTGTGGTCAGAAAAGATGCTTAAAATGATTTATGGCTTCTTACATTTCTTGAGGCTTATTTTGTGCCCTAGTAATGTAGTCAATTCTAGAGAATGTTCAATGTGCACTTGAAAAGAATGTGGGTTTTTTTTTTATGTAAGGACCTGAAAATATCAATTAAGTTTAACTGTTCTATTGTATCATTTAGGATCTCTGTGCCTTATTAATTTTCTGCCTGGAAGATCTGTCATTTACGTGAGTGAGGTGTTAGTATCCTTCTACTGTTGTGTTCCTGTCAATTTCTCACTTTATGTCTGCACTTGTTTTATGTATTAAACATTTGGGTGATTCTATATTGGGTGCATACATATAGACAGGTGTAATAGCCTCTTCTTGTACTGATTGTTTTATCATTATATAGTGCCTTTCTTTATCTTTCTTTATGGTCCTTGTTTTAAAATTTTATTTGTCTTCTGTGAATATTGTGACCCTCATTTTCTTGTCATTTCCATATGCATAAAATATATTCTTCCATCCCCTCAGTTTGTTTTTTTTTAACTTATCTTTATTTGGCTGTGCTGGGTCTTAGTTACAGCATGCAGGATCTAGTTCCCTGACCAGGGATCAAACCTGGGGCTCCTGCATTGGGAGCAAGGAGTCTTAGCTACTAGACCACCAGGCAAGTCCCCACCCCCGCCACTTTCAATCTGTATATGTCCTTCGTCCTAAAGTGAGTCTCAAGTAGGCAGCACGTTGTAAGCACTTTTTTTGTTTAACCCAATCTGCCACTCTTTCTTTTGATTGGAGCATTTAGTCCATTGACATTTAAGGTAATTATTGATAGATATGTATTCACTGCCATTGTAGACTCTGTTTTCTCGTTGACTTTTTAATTTCTTTTATGTCCCTTTTTCTTCTTCTTTTTGTGATTTGATGATTTTCTTTTCGTATTACACTTACGTTCTCTTTTTGTTTTTCTGTGAATCTGTTGTATGTCTTTGATTTGTGGTTACCCTGTTTTTCAAGTATGTTAACCCCTTCCTATATCTACTTGCATTAGACTTATAGTCACATAGGCTGAAACACATTCAGAGAAAAAAATCTACTTTTTCTCACTCTCCTCCCCAACATTTTATGACTTTCATGTCCTCTTTTACATCTTCACGTTTATTCTTTTGCTATTCATTGCCTTCGCAAAATTTTTTATTTTTTTAAAAAAATCTGTATAATAGTTTACTGAAGTGATTTACTTTCCAGTTGTGATTTTCTCTTTTCCATAGATTCTTGCTTCTTTTCTATCTAGAGAAGACCTTTCAATATTTCCTTTAGGGTAGGTTTAGTATTGTTGTATTCTCTTGGTTTTTTGCTTGTCTGAGAAATTTTTTATCTCTCCTTCTATTCTAGATGATAATCCTCCTGGGTAGGCTATCCTGTGAAAAGTGAAAGTGAAAGTCGCCGAGTCGTGTCCGACTCTTTGCGACCTCATGGACTGAAGTCCGTGGAATTCTCCAGTCCAGAATACTGGAGTGGGTGGGTAACTATTCCCTTCTCCAGGGGATCTTCCCAACCCAGGGATCAAACCCAGGTCTCCCACATTGCAGGCAGATTTTTTACCAGCTGAGCCACCAGGGAAGTGCAGATTTTTCCCTTTTAAGACTTTTTTAAAATTCGTAAGACTCTTTTAGGAGTGTATCTTGCTGCTCCCTTCTGGCCTGCGACTTTTCTGTAGAGAAAGAAAGAAACGGAAGTTGCTCAGTCGTGTCCGACTCTTTGCGACCCCACGGACTGTAGCCCACCAGGCTTCTCCATCCATTAGATTTTCCAGGCCAGAATACTGGAGTGGGTAGCCTATCCCTTGTCCAGGAGATCTTCCCAACCCAGGGATTGAACCCCAGTCTCCTGCATTGCAGGCAGACTCTTTACCCTCTGAGCCACCAGGGAAGCCCATTTCTGTAGAGAAATCAGCTGATAGCCTTAGGGGGTTCCCTTGTAATTAATTCTGTTTTTCTCTTGCTGCCTTAAGAATCCTCTCTTTGTCTAACTTTTGTTATTTTAATTATAGAATGTCTTGGTGTAGGTCTGTTTCAGTTCACCTTGTTTGGGACTCTCTCTGCTTCCTGTATCTGGATATTTGTTTCTTTCTTTCGTTTTGGGAAGTTTTCAGCCATAATTTCTTCAAAGAAATCTTTGACCCATTTTGTCTTTCTTCCCCTTCTGGAATCTCTATTATGTTTAGATTGGCACACTTTATCCTACCCCATGTGCACATGTGTGCTAAGTCACTTCAGGCGTGTCTGACTCTTTGCAATCCTGTGGGCTGTAGCTCTCCAGGCTCCTCTGTCCATGGGATTCTCCAGGCAGCAATACTGGAGTGTTGCCATGCCCTTCTCCATGGACTCTTCTCAACCAGGGATCAAACCCATGGTTCTTGTGTCTCCTGCATTGCTCTTTACCACTAATGCCGCCTCGGAAGCCCGTATTATCCCATAGTTTTTAACATTGCTTTCATTTTTTTTTTTCTTTTTATTGGACTTTCTGTCTGCCTTTCTGATTGAGTGATTTCCATTATTCTATCTTCCAGGTATTTATTCATTCTTCTGCATTATTTAATCTGCTATTCATTGCCTTTAGCTCAGCTTTTGTCTGGGCAAGTGAGTTTTCTAATTTTTCTTGGCTTCTCTTTGTAGTTTCTAGTTCCTTTTAACGGTAATCTGCATTTTTATCAATCGCTCTTCTTAATTCCTTCAGTATTTTCATTATCTCCTTCTTGAATCCAGTGTATATTTGACTGATGAGGTCTGCTTCGTTTGTTCTTTCAGGGGAGTTCTCTTGATCTTTGAATTGGGAGTGGTTCCTCTGCTGTCTTTCACTTATATTTCTCTTACTCTGAATTTAGGAGAAACAGTGATCTACTGTGGTCTTGGAGGTCTAGTCTAGCTTTATGTGCTGGCATCCCTGGGTAGCTTGTGTGGGTTTAGTATTTTTGGTGTGAGGGCTGTCTTTAGTATAGATGTCTGCTGCTCTTCCGTCGGTCTGTATTGGTCATTATCCCCTGGAGAGGAGGTGTCGTGGTGACCAGAGCCTGCGCTGGATGTTGAGCAGGGCCTCCTCTTTGCTCAGTGGTTGTCACTGCCCACTGGGGGCCAGATCTGCTCCGCACTGTTGGAGCAGAAGCCCCCAGACCCGTTTCTGAGCTGGGGTGCGAGGGAGCCGGGGAGCTGAGGTGGGGTTGGAGCACTCCTGCTGGGAGAGGAGCCATAAGTGTTCCTCCGCCAGCGCCGTGCTCCCCCGAGCGTGCTGTGCGGTGTCACCTGTCCGACAAGCGTATAGAGCCTTCGGCTCTGGGCACTGCTCTCGGTCGCTTCTCAACCATGGGAACACGGGCAGCCTGCCCTGGTTCCCTCGGGGGGCGTTCTCACAAGGCCAGCGCAGCTTTGCTGAAGTCGGGCATCCCGAGAATGGTAGTCGCACCCTTGGATCTGCGGTGGCCCCCGTGTGCACGGCCCCACGGCATACAGCTAACCCTAGCCCTAAGCCTAAGGCCGGACCTGTCCCAGGCCGGGAGCTGCCCCCTGAGATGTCCCAGGACGCTGAGCTTACAGAGCCGGCAGTGGTGGGGTGACCCCGCACAGTGGCTGGGGAGGGCTCGATTCCTGCCTCTGCACGCGGGCAGCTCACAGGTGCTCCCCCAGAGCTCGCAGAGGTAGCGCTGCCATCAGCACCCATGGAGAAAGAGGCCGCTGTGGTGGACCCACCCCTCTGTTCGGGACGTGTGCGTTAACAGTGGGGTTTTGATGGCGGTGCAAGCCCGCCGTGAGCGTGCCAAGACTGAGGCTCCCACGGCAGGCCCGCGGTCGCCTTGCACGCTGGCTCACAAAGGCTCCTCACTTCTGTGGCGGGCCAAGGCTTCCTCCGCATACACCCCTGCCCGCTCACCGTGCTCCAGCCCCGCAGGCTGTCTGCGTGCAGCCACCGCGGCCCTGCCCCTCGGGCTGTCCTCGGAAGCCTGCGTTTCAGCACCCAGCGCCGCCGCTGCCCTCTGCGCACATGTGTCTCTGGCCCAGGGCGGCAGCTCAGACCGTGCCTGCAGGCCTCTCTGCCCTGTCTGCCTCGGGCTGGTGGCTGGACTCCCCTCTGAGCCCCTGCAGCTCCCTTCTGTCTTGGACTGAGCTCCCCGCCAGTGAAGGGGCTTTCCAGGGCGCAGGAACCTTTCCTGTTTCTCACTACTTCTCAGGGGTGCAAGTCCCGTCCCAATTCCCACCCCCACGCCCGCTTTTTTTTTCCTTTCGTCCTACCCGGCGTGTGGCGATTTCTTTTACGATTTTGGGCGTTTGAGAAGGTCTGCCAGCATGCAGCGGGTATTCTGTGAGAATTATTGCAGATGGGGGTGTGTTCCGACGCGAATGGGGGAGGAGGTGAGCTGCACACCCCCCCTCTTCTGCCACATTGATTGGAGCCCCACCCCCCTCCCCAGGATAAACACTTTTAAAATAATTTCTTAAAGAGCACTGTGTTTTTCCTTTAAAGGATTTTATTGCAACTTTGCATCCCCAGTAATAGCACATGAGTGCCTGTTTGCCCATCCTTTGGTCAGTGGGAGATAGAATAATCTTTTTAATTTTTGCCAGTCTTATGGAGGTGAGAAATGAGAGCTCATTATCATATTAATTTGTATGTCCTTACTGCTAAAGAGACTGAGCATCTCCTCAGGTGTTTGTTGGCCGTTTGTATTTGTTTGTCTGTAACCCACCTGTTCGTATTCTCTGCGTGCTTTCGGTGGTGGTTACTTTTTTTCTTATTGATTTATGATCGCTGTTTATATATTATGGACATAATACAGGTACTATTCTAAAATTATAAGAGGAAGGCAGGGTTTAAAACTGCCTTTATTTACACTTTTATTTCCCCCTGTAGGTCCTCCAGCGCCTGAGTTGTATGGCTATGAAGGGAGAGATGTTCCTGGTGGCCAATCTTGGGACAAAGCAGCCTTGTCATAGCAGCGACCCAGGGTGCCCGAGTGACGGTAGATACCAGTTTAACACGAACGTTGTGTTCAGCAGTAATGGAACCCTGGTTGACCGCTACCGCAAACATAACCTCTACTTTGAGGCAGCGTTCGATACCCCTCTGGAGGTGGATCACACAATCTTCGACACCCCCTTCGCTGGCAAGTTCGGCGTCTTCACTTGCTTTGACATACTGTTCTTTGACCCCGCTGTCAGCCTCTTCAGAGACTCTGAGGTGAAGCACGTTGTGTATCCGACTGCCTGGATGAACCAGCTCCCACTCTTGGCGGCCATTCAGATTCAGAGAGGTTTCGCCATCGCCTTTGGCATCAACTTTCTGGCTGCGAACATCCACCACCCATCTCTGGGGATGACAGGAAGTGGCATACACACCCCTCTGAAGTCCTTTTGGCACCACAACATGGAAAGCCCTGAAGGTCACCTCATAGTCGCCGAGGTAGCCAGAAATCCACCGGGTCTCGTCAGTACCGGGAACGCCACAGAGAAAACGGACCCCTCCCATAGGAAGTTCTTGGAACTCTTGGCAGGGGATCCCTACTGTGAGAAGGATGCCCAGGACGTCCATTGTGATGGAGCCGCCAAATCAACCACCAACGCCTCTCCCACGTTTAACTCTGAGATGATGTATGACAACTTCACCCTGGTTCCCGTGTGGGGACGGGAAGGCCACCTCCGCGTCTGTGCAAACGGCCTGTGCTGCCATTTGCTTTACCAGAGGCCCGCCGTGTCCCAGGAGCTGTACGCCCTGGGGGTCTTCGATGGCCTTCACACCGTGCATGGCACCTACTATGTCCAAGTCTGTGCGCTGATCAAGTGTGGGGGTCTTGGCTTTGACACGTGTGGGCAGGAGATCACAGAGGCCGAGGGGATGTTCGAGTTTCACCTGTGGGGCAACTTCAGTACTTCTTATATCTTTCCAATGCTTCTGACCTCAGGGATGACCCTGGAAACCCCGGACCAGCTGGGCTGGGAGAGTGATCACTATTTCCTGAAGAAGAAGGGACTGTCCTCTGGGCTGGTGACAGCAGCTCTCTATGGGCGGTTATATGAGAAGGACTAGGGGGTGTGGAAACCGCCCCCCCACACACACACTGGCACAGGCTGAAGCTCACAGCAGTGGGACCACCTCTTTGCCCCAGAGCCCATCTGGGAGGACGTAGGGAGATGGCGCACTAGGGTCTTTCCCTCTTAGGTGGAAATTAGTGAGATATTTTCTGGTATTTTATACTCTTGTTTCTATTTTTCAAGCCATTTCTTCCTCCAGCAGATCTTTCATCACACAGTTGTTTTAAGAGCTCAAACAAAAATAAACGTCAGTTTAAATTTTACATGTCCACAAGACGGCTACTTTTGTGTGCTGTGTGTGTTTCTTCTTGTTGTTGATCAAGTGACACCCAGGATGTACGGGTATTTCACAAGCCTCAAACATTATCGAGGGTAAGAACACTCAAAGCAAAAGCCATCTTAGAATGGCTGCGGTGGGGACTTTTCCCTGCCTGTGGCCAGAATTCAGACTGATCATGCCACAGCCACCAGCGGCCTCAGCAATGTGGAGCCTGAGGCAGCTTTTAAAAACAGGGGGAAGCTTTTCTCAAATCTGCCTTTCTGCCAGGGATCGGAATGTGTCAGGCAGGCCTCAGCACAACTGGGGAGAAAGAGGGCCGTGCCCCGGAGAGAGAGAGGCTGGAAAAAGTGCCGAAGAGAGGGCAGCAGCGGGAACAGATGAGTAATAGGATTCCTGGGCACAGCATGTCTCATCCAGGGATTCCAGGCACGTCAGTAAATCATGCTGGCTCTGGGCAAGCGCCTTCTGGCTGCCCGGCTCTGAGGGGTGGAGTGATGCTGTGAACTCACCCCCGGTCCACGGCAGGGCCTTCTCCTTGCAGATGGGTGGCCGGAGCGGCCTGGGGCTGGCGCACGCAGACTCTATCCACTCACCGGACAGGTGTCTTTGGAGAGCCCACCACAGACGGAGCAGGACCTCCCACGGAGTGAACTGCAGATGCAAGATTGTACTCAGTGAAGACAGTTTTCAGGCCCCTGGTGTCACTATTCCTTGTGTCCAACATTTCCAAGTTGTTTTGACTCTATGCCTAGTATTATCTCAGATCACTTTTAAAGCAGAAAATGGATAGCTTTTTTTATTTAAAGAAAATGGATAGTTAGCTGTCTGTGATTTGCCTCTTCAATGTATAGCTAGTTTCTTCTCTGTTATAAATTAGGTGTTTTAAAGCAGTATGTGCATATATATATATAATATATAATTAATTGTTATTATAATTATGCAAAGTAAAAAATGAGATTCTTTCCCCGTCTCCCACAGTGTGGCTTTCCGGACCCTTCTCTGGCTCTCAGGCAGGATAATAAAGGGCACAGATCCAGGAGTCAGGCTGACGGTTGCTTCCTTGGCCTCCTGGTTTACGCTTCCCCACGCAGACCTCGCCTGTTTATTTGACCCTTGTTGCACCCATTTTCTTATTCGTGGAATGTGTGTTGAATCATTCACATGGGAAAGAAACGAAGACCCACTGACTCACTGCCTGCTTGCAAAGGCCTGGAATGAGTCAGGCCGGCCTTCAGGGAATTTGCAGACGCAAGTCAAGATTCCTGAGGAAACCCGGGAGGTACCCCTGGAATGGAACGGGGACCTCTCCCACCAGATGCGGGTGCAGACCCGGGAGGGGTGAGCTGGCGGCGCCACGCAGCTCCGGATGTGGCCACGGCCGCCGCCCCAGGGAAGCAGAAATCATCTCAGAAATGCACATCTTGCTTCCTGCCAAGATGATTCAGATCAGCCCGAGAGAGAGAGGCCAGAGGCATGGTGCAGCTCCTTCACCAGTAGACGTTTCTGAGGCACCTGCTGGATGCACCTTCTGCTCCCGTGAGCAGAGCACCGAGAACTTTCCCCAAGCTGCTATCTGCTGAGGATTCAGAACTAACTGCAAACAAAGCAGAAACCAGGGGGGACTTCCATGATGAAAAGTAGTTGCCAGATGGTGGAGCGGAGTGGAGGGTAGCGGAAATGAGCAGAATAAATCATGCTCAAGATAAAAAAGAAAAAAATGCACTCATGACTCATGCCCATGACATGCTTTTGTCAGCTGCGATCCTGAAACTCAGGAAGCAAACGGTGATCTGGACCACAGCAGAGAGGCGGGACGCCCCGTGTACTTTTGGCGGAATCGGGCTTGGGGGAAGTGGCCGGACCGTGCGGTTTCTGATGGAGGTGCAGCTGGGCCTGTCTGCCGGTTTCCTCCAAGAGGAAGTGAGAGGCAGCAATGAGCTGAAGAAGTCCCGTTCTCAGGGAAGGCAAAGCCATGGCCTGCTGGCAGCCTGTCTGTCCCAGTGCCCGCTGTGGCCTCTCAAGAGGAGGGCCTGCCCACCGCCCCACTGAGAGAGCCCCACCTGGGCCCCACAGGCAGCCCACTCAGCACTCTCACCCCCGAAAGAGACGCTGTGCCCACAAGCAGTCATGCCCAACCTCCCAGGGCAGTCACTAACACACTTCCTATCTCTGCGGATTTGCCCATTCTGAACATTTTCTTTAAATGGAATTGTACACTAGGTGGCCTTTTGTTCCTGCCTTCTTCCACCTGCTGTACTGTTTTCAAGGTTTATACTTGTGTACCATGTCCAAATTCTTCCTTCCTATGGTTGAATAACATGTCACTGTATAGATACATTACATTTGTTTATCCATTCATAACTAAGTGGACTTCAGGTTGCTTCCACTTTTGGCTGCTATGAATATTCATGTACAAGTTTATATATGTGAACATGTGTTTTCAGCTCCTTGTGGATACACCTAGGAGAGTAATTGCTGGGTCATATGGTAGTCAGTGTTTAATTATTTGAGGAACTGTCAAGACTGTTTTGGAGAAGGACATGGCAACCCACTCCAGTATTCTTGCCTGGAGAATCCCAGGGACAGGGGAGCCTGGTGGGCTGCCGTCTATGCGATCACGCACAGTTGGACATGACTGAAGTGACTTAGCAGCAGCAGCAGCAGCAAGACTGTTTTCCAAAGGGACTACATCATTTTACAGCACCATTAGCAATGTTCAGTTCAGTTCAGTTCAGTCGCTCAGTCGTGTCCGACTCTTTGCCACCCCATGGACTGCAGCACGCCAGGCCTCCCTGTCCATCACCAGCTCCCAGAGTCTACTCAAACTCATGTCCATCAAGTCGGTGATGCCATCCAACCATCTCATCCTCTATCGTCCCCTTCTCCTCCTGCCCCCAATCCCTCCCAGCATCAGGGTCTTTTCCAGTGAGTCAACTGTTTGCATGAAGTGGCTAAAGTATTGGAGTTTCAGCTTCAGCATCAGTCCTTCCAATGAACACCCAGGACT